GAGCTATGAGGTATCATGTTCAGATCACGTGATGGGTATTTTCCTTTCTCAAGTCGGGTCTGAAGAAGATCCTAGGTCAGCTATCTTGGAGACGGCTCACTACCCAGTATCTACTCAACCCTCACGATAATGGGACGCCCAACCAAAGCTTAGCCCAGTTAAGCTCCGTCCTCAACTAACACTCACAGCTTACTGTGTTAATTACAGTATTCTCCTTATTGAAGTGTACACACTATATTTTTGTATATAAAAAGAGAAAAGACCATTTGGGTTTTGTCAAGTTCACCCACAAACTATTTATGTATCCAAGTTCAGCTACCTACCCAAGGATATATTATAAGCTAGCAGCGGATACATCGTCATTATCAGTTTGCTCGCTGGTATCTGACTGTATTGGTCCAATCTTTCATTCACGTTTTAGTTTGATACATTTGAAAGAATCCCTTGTGGTTTGACTTCGCCTCCCTTGTTACCTTCATTACATTATTCCTCTTTGCTTTCCTTATCTCGGTCTTAACCCTACCGGCCAATACCTTATAATAATCTCGGAAGTAAATTTCACCACGATTTATTTTCCTACCTATAGCCTTCCTTTATCCAATAATATTTTTTAACTAATTATTTATCCACTTAGGGTCTTTGTTGTTTGATCTGAGTTTTCTGTATGGTATGTTCTGCCTTTGTGCATTAAGTAACTCATTATTTAAATTGTTGTGGAACTCGTCAACCTCAGATCTCGTGATCAGGTCATCCTCAACCGTCGTAGTTTGTGAGGTTATTGTTGTCAGGTCTCCTGGTAAAATGAGGTCGCCCTCTGTGAGTACATTGTGTGAGGTCATGTAATTCACCTCCAAACGTGAAACCCCTTCTCTCACCTGCCTTTTCAAACTATCAAAATGTGCTCTTCTGAAATCTGGGATTCTCATGGAATTTTCCTTACGACTGCCCTTAAATTCTAATTAGAATCTTATTTATTTGTTATCGCTGTTAGCAAGTTCGTTCCCTACCTCGACATTATTAATGAGGTTTTCTCTGTTTGACAGAACTAAATCCAGTATATTATTGCCCCGGGTGGGTTTGGTTATATGTTGACTTAGGAAACAGTCCTCGATTTTTTCAAGAAAATCCTCTGATTCTAAGTTACCCGTAAGACCGGTCCCCCTATTAGGCTAAAGTTAAAGCCTACTGTAAAGACTTTGCTATGTCTGGAAGCATTGCGCATTTCATCCCAAATAAGTCGCTCATTAACTCTATCAAGATTAGATGGTCTATATATTACTCCTGTGATTAATTTTTGCCTACCATCTGACCTCTGACCCAGCTTGGAGAAGGTCGTGCCCGATCGTGCTCCCGTTAGAGACCAAGGAAAATGGCCGCTTTGGATCGTTGTGTCGTGGGGGAAGAGGAGGGGAGTGTGGGGAAATACGACCTCCTTGCCACTCTGTTAAGGCAGCTGGGGCAGTTGAGGAGTGAGGTTGACAATCTAAAGGGCCAAAACGAAGCCCTCAGGACGGAACTCCTTCAGGTAGGTGTCCTGCCTAGCAGGACACCTGCGAAGGAGGAGCAGGCGTGGAGAGTGGTTGTCTCCAAGGGGACTAGGGTCAGGCTCAGGAAAGCTGACCAGGGTGTGGAGTGTAGTAACCTTTACCAGGTGCTGCAGGAAGCTGGCGAGGAAGAGAAGAGGCAGGACGGTATGGATCAAGGAGAGGAAAGGGCAGTTGTACAAATCCTGCCCACAGGTAAGGTCGTGGTAGTTGGTGACAGCCAGGTGAGGTTTATGAATAGGGCTTTTTGTCTTAAAAGAGTGTAGGGAACAGATTAGCGGACCCCTCGTAAACTTATTTACAAAATCATTAGACACTGGAGTTGTGCCAGAGTTGTGGAAACAGACAAATGTTGTACCCATATTCAAAAAGGGAGACAGAGCATCAGCGTCAAATTACCGGCCGATCAGTTTGACGTCAGTAGTGGGGAAATTTCTTGAATCAATTATAGCAGATAGCATCCGATCGCATCTAGAAAGCAAATTAATCTACGACTCTCAACATGGGTTTACAAAGGGAAAATCTTGTCTAACAAATCTGCTAACGTTTTTTAGGAAAGTCTTCGAGGTAGTAGATAATGACGAAAATTACGATGTTATTTACTTAGACTTTAGCAAAGCATTTGACAGAGTACCGCATCAGAGGCTTCTGAGAAAAATTAAGGCTCATGGTATCGAGGGGAAAGTTTTAAATTGGATAAAATCATGGCTCACCGATAGAACGCAGAGGGTCAGCGTAGATGGTGTTAAATCTGAGTGGGGCCGTGTAACCAGTGGGGTTCCCCAGGGGTCAGTACTAGGCCCACTCTTGTTCATAATCTACATAAACGATTTAGATACTGGGATCAGCAGTGACATAAGCAAGTTTGCGGATGACACCAAAATAGGGCGGCAAATTAATTCAGGGCAGGATGCAAATGCATTACAGGAGGATCTAAATAAACTGCAGGGGTGGTCTGAAAAATGGCAAATGAAATTCAACACCAGCAAGTGCAGCGTACTTAATATTGGAAGAACAAATACTTATAATGTATACAGCCTTAACAACATCAACCTAGAGAAGTCGACTTGTGAAAGAGACCTAGGGGTACTTGTAAGCCCGGACCTACGGCCTAGAAAACAGTGCGTTAATGTTCGAAATAAGGCAAACAGAGTATTGGGTTTTATATCTAGAAGTGTAAGTAACAAGAGTGCAGAGGTCTTATTGCAACTATATCTTGCGCTAGTTAGGCCGCACCTCGATTATGCGGTTCAGTTCTGGTGCCCCTATTACAGAATGGATATAAACTCACTAGAGTCGGTGCAGCGAAGAATGACAAAATGATTCCGGGAATTAGAAACCTTCCATATCAGGATAGGTTAAAGAAACTTAACTTGCATTCCCTAGAAAGACGTAGAGTGCGGGGAGATATGATAGAAGTATTTAAGTGGGTGAAACTAATCAATAAAGGGGATATAGATAAAGTTCTTATAATATCCGAGCAGGATAGGACTCGGAGCAACGGACTCATGTTGGATAAGTTTAGGTTTAGGAGGGACATAGGAAGAAACTGGTTCACAAATAGGGTGGTGGACGAGTGGAACAAGCTTAGCAACTTTGTAGTAAGTGCGGGAACTCTGGAAAGTTTCAAAAGGAGGCTAGATAGATTCATGGATGATAGAGAGTGGTAATAACTCTCGACAGGAGCTGCCATGCACAGGCCAACCGGCCTATTGCAGACTCCTTATTTTCTTATGTTCTTAAATTGTTTCTGTATTCGGCAGGTAACTCACGTGAGTCGAAGTTTATCCATGTTTTAGTGAATGCTATTATATCGATTTTTTCGGTACATACCAACGTCCTGATTTCATCCATTTTGTTTCTCATTCTCTTACTGTTTGCGTAGTAGACATTTAAGTTAGTCGTGTTCTGGGTCCTCTCTTTGACGTGTTTAGGTTTTAATTCCCAGCCTAATTTAGTTTTGTCATTATTCCTAGCACTATTTCTCTGTAACCTTTCATTTTGTATACCCGCTCCCACTGCCGTCTCCTCCTCCCCCGTGCTCATATGTTCCCCTAGCAGTTTACAGACTTTGTCATCTTTTGAACTGCCCTTTCGAGAGAACCAGCCAGTGTTGCCACTCCATCCCCAGACAGATGCACCCCATCCCGAGCATAAAGGTCCCTTCTGCCGTAAAATTTGTCCCAGTTGTCACCGAATGGGACTGATATTGACTTGCAATATCTCTCAAGACGGCCGTTGACACCACTGTCATTGACAACCATTCATTGCTAACTCTCCTTCTAGGCAAGACACCACATATGATAGCGATCCCTCCCTTCACCCTAATACGTTCTATAACTTTCTTGAACTTATCAAGGAGATCCTCACTCCTAATACCGGCCAATATCATTGCTTCCTGCACCGAGGCAGAAAATAGGGCTGTTCCAATTTCCAGACAAGATATTGTCCATCCTCTCAACTACTGTATATCTCCCACCCCAGCTCCTGGCAAACACACCCTCACCCTATTTTTATTTTTACCACAAAAAGCTCTATCCAGGTACCATACGTGGGAATCGCCAACAATTAAGGTTTTCTTATCTTCCTTGTCAGCCTTGTCCGTGACTATGCTAACGTCCAATTCGTACTGGGTACGGTTGCCCATGACATTTGATACACAAACACACACACACACAATAAAATGATCGAAGACACTCATTAACGAGTAAACTAACTCACTTATTCATAAGCAAATACAAACACACAAGCATACATATATTTATAGCTTGTGTCACGGTTCACTTGATCATATAGCTTGCAGTCTTTGCTGCTCGTTGCCTGAGTTACTTGTAGCCCGAGAATTGTTTGTAGTCTGTTACTTACTTGTAGCCTGTGAATTCCTTGTAATTTGTAAGTTGTCTATAGCCCGTGAGTTACTTAACGTCTGTGTGTTAACAGACTCCCCCTACACAAAGTTATTTAATAAATAACGAAAATATCGGTGAGTGTGTATATGCTCTATTAACCAACCCTTCTCCAGCTTGTTATGGACTTTAGCACCAAAAATGGTTATTCGGTAATTTTATCTTACCTCGAGATATGTTCGACCGATTGAAATAATTTGCCCAACCGTTCTAACCCGATTTCAGCTTATGTCATAATAAGCTGCTAAATACATGGCAATGGTTAATCACGACTTAAAAAGAGGCCAATGTTAATGTCTTTTTTTTTCGTAATTATATTGAATATAAAATATATAGTGATTCAGACTCTCATAGCGACCTGTAAGACATATTGTAGTCTTATTTGTTGAAAGTGTATTCTCATTCGAATATCATAAATATGAGCTATCAGGTACTATTGATAATTACGTGCTTTTGGTCTTTATTTATGGAACCTCATAGGTTCAGGAACCAAAAAATATGAAAGAATAGAATATATGTTATTGATTAAAACAAAGGAATTTTTAAAATATGTTTTTACCAATTTATTTAAACAAACGTAACATACTGATATCATATAGTGCTGTATGGCTTTATATGCTTACAGAATAAGAAATATAATACGGATCCAAAGAAGTGAATCAAGTTATAGATTATAATGCAAATCCACTGAGAGAATTCCCACCTGAAAAATATAAAATGCCGGAAAAATGCCCTAAATCTGTGCGTGTGAGACATTAACACCTAGGAGGTAAGTCCTTGCTCAACCAATTCGTCAAACGAGGCGAGGAAACGAGACCGAAAGGCCGGATTGGTGTCCATCATCTTGATTGTCGTCACCTGCCACTCCTCCATCACCCTTTTTACATCCTCGTTGGTTTTCATAGCATCTAGATCTAATGTGTCGCTGCCCTCACTAAACATCATTGTCACTCCCATAGTAGAAAAGAGAACACCATATTCTAACTTATTCATGTACTCCTGATGCAGCTCCTGCAGGGTGAAGGGTGTGGCTTCACCACCGGCTTCCAACACCTTTGTGAAGGTGTAATAGTATGAGGTCAGGAAGTTTTGCAAATTAATCTTCCTGTCGTTGCCGTGGAGGCTGGAATGCAGGAAGAAGTTGAGGTCATTTGCCAGAGAAGCCACTCCGTTCAGCTGAAGATCCACCAACATCACTTCCACGGGATCACCGTCTTCATTGTACCTGAAGTTATAGGAGAAGAGTCCCATGAGAATTGCAGTGTTTAACAGTATATGCTTTCCTGTTAGATATAGTTTCTCTCTCTTTCTCTCTCTCTCTCTGGAATATAACAAAGCCAAGGATTGCTCCTGTTGTCCTTGTGGCGTGGTGGTAGCGATCCCTGTTCACACATAGTGGTCCTGGGTTCTATAATCACTTGCGTGCGTGTCCGAGCGAACGCTAACTACCCGTCCGCCCAGACCAAACATTACGACACTGTCCGGGTGTTCTGAAACCTTAGCTCACTAGGTGCGCGGCCTCCCTGTTCGGAAATGAACGCTCACAGCCCCGTACGCGCAGACCGAAGCTTTACGACACTGTCCAGGTATTTAAGACACTTCACTCAAACACAGAGCACTCGCTATCACTGCCTCGCTGCTGACGACGCACGTGATCCACCCACTGTGGGTGGGTGGGTGATCCACCCACTATGGGTGGGTGGGCGATCGACGAGCCTATGCTCTCCCACGCTGAACTCCGGCGTTGGTCCTTCGACAGTCCTCAGTCCTCCCGTATAGGTTTTGACTGTTAACGCTCATAGGAGCGTTATTGGTTTGTTGCTGGAGAAATAAACCCTCAACGTTGACGCGTACCATATAATTCGGTCAAAACCTGTTAAAGAACATTTCTCATATAACAAATGCTGTTATCTCAGGACACATATTATGAAATACAATCAATATACAGTACATAGCCTGTTAACATCTTAAATATAACTCGCATGTTATAACTATTGATACAGGAGACAATTGGTATAATATGATCAAATTGCAGTACACAAATATACTTATTAAAGTTATTTAGAGTTTCTTAGCAGATTCTAATACTTCACGATCACTCACGTTTTAGGGTCTAGTGGTCTGAACCAACGTGTTGTCTGTCCTGTAGAAATCAGTAGACTACCCTTGAGGGCAATCTCAGCCCGGAGGCGAGGGCCATATGTTTTCGTATTGAAACACCTCAGCAGATTGGTCAGCAAATTCGTTGTCAACACTATATCTCTTATCTCATCCCCTCTCTCTCTCTCGCCTAGTTTATCTTATTATGGTTATCCCTCTCTTTCTCTCTCTTCTAGCTTATCTTACTGCGGCGGTAACAACTATGATTATGTACAGTTGCCAGCAAAAATCCTACCAAAACCCTGTGTATCATGGCTGTGGGAGAATATTTGCTGGCAACTGTACATCAACCTCCTCTGCGACCTTGCCCCACCTCCCTCCATTACTTTGAACACCAACACAATCCAGGTTGTGGACTGCACCAAGCTCCTCGGCGTCACTATAGATAACAAACTAAATTGGAAAACACACGTCAGTACAATTGTCAAGTCCTCCAGTTTTCGTCTCCACCTCCTCCGCCGACTCAAGTCCCTCAGAGTTCCTGGGCCCGAGCTCCTCAGTGCATACTCAATATTCATACTTTCCAAGCTCATCTATGCCTCCCCTGCCTGGTCTTCCTCCCTAAATGCCACACAACGTAAACACCTAGAAGAAGTGCAGAAAGGAATATGCAAGATTATTCTCTCCCCTTCCTACTCCACATATCAAGAAGTGCTCAACACACGACCTCATCTGCAAATTTACTGAAAAGATTCTGCCCCATCCTCGAGGCTCCTGCTTCCACCCGAGATCCTTCGTCCGTAAATTGCTGTTGGACAATACAACTGCATCAAGCCCATATAAGCACATACTGATTGCTATAAGAACAGCCCAGTCCTAACCATTGTAAAAATTATCAACAACTCATAGTCAACCAGTGTGTTCACTCCCAGTCAATCTTACCTTTTTGCACTGGTATTACTATGTTGAAGTGCCTTGTATTATGACCTTCTCCCTACCTTGTTTTTGTATATCATATTTGTATCATTTGTGTTACTAGTATATTATTTGTCAATCAAGTGATCTCTTCCCTAATTATGTAACTGCATATATTCCGTCTTCTGGCTGCCATGTTCTCAATATTCCGTTAATTATTATTATTATTATTATTATGACACAAACACACACACAAACATATATATATATATATATATATATATATATATATATATATATATATATATATATATATATATATATATATATATATATATATATATATATATATATATATATATATATATATATATATATATATATATATATATATATACATGGGTGGGTCCCACGGTAGCTCACGGAGAGCAAAAAGTGACACTCAAGGTAATACAGTATATAGCTAATCCGAGTGATGTTGGGTAATTTTGTTAGTATGTATATGGTCTGACAATCAAGTTAGCGAACTCGCCACAGGGCTCAACAGGCAACAGTGTAACGAGTGTGAATGGCGTGCGTGTGACCTTGATCCCTCCTCTTACTACCCAGTTGCATCGTCGATCTCAAGCGAGCCGGAAGTGTGCAGTGGCAGCTATTGTATTAGAATGTTTTCTGGTTTTGTCGCGATAATGACATTGTTTTAGAACAAAGAACGAACATCAAGTTTCTCTTGAAACTGGGGAAAACTGGGCCTGAAATTCGGGACATGTTAACCCAAGTTATGGGGATAATGCACTAAAGAAAGCATCAGTTTACAAGTGGATTAAGAGATTTTCTGAAAGAAGAGAAGACGTGACAGACGATGACAGAGAAGGACGACGAACAACGAGCAGAGCAGGACTGAGGGAAACATTGAAAAAATTAGGAAAGTTGTGTGAGCTAACAAGAGATTGGCAATGAGAAGTTATGCAGATGAGGAGTAGATTGACAGAGAAACAGAAAGGGTTTGACTGATGATTTGAAGACGAGGAAAGTTTGTGCGAAAATGGTGCAGGAAAATCTCAGTGACGAACAAAAACAAAGAGTTGAAATTTGCTCAGACCCTTTGGAAAGATAAACGGCTGGAGATGACCCGCTTCACTGAGTCATTACTGGTGATACGACCCTGAAACGAAACACCAAAGCACTCAGTGGAAAACTGCAAACTCGCCGTGCCCCTAGAATTGTTGCATGTTACAGTGGAAAGTGAAGACAATGCTCATCACTTTTTTCGGTTCTAAGGGTGTAGTTCAAAGAGAATTTGTTCCCCCAGGGCAGGGTGTGAACCAGTTTTTCTATCTTGACGTGCTTAAAAGACTTACAGAAGAAGTTAGACGAAAAACGCCCAGAACTTTTCGCTGGAAGCAAGTGGATCTTGCAGCATGACAATGCCCCAGCGCACATGACACTGATTGTGCGTGAGTTTTTTAACCGAGAAACAACTTACCTTACTGGAACACCCTCCTTATTCACCTGACCTAGCCCCGTGTGACTTTTTTCTATTTCTTCACAGAAGAAACACATCAAGGAGACGCATTTTCAAGACGTGGATATCATTCGGAGTAGCACGATGGCAGCTATAAGAGTTATTCCAGAAAGTGAGCTCCAAAAATGTTCCTGCGGTGGAAGAAACTCTGAAGAAACGCTGGCGTTCGTATATAGCATCGCAAGGGAAATACTTTGAAGGGGACCACAGTGCCGAACCTCAGAAAGGTACGTACTTGCGCATGTAGCCAGGATTCGAACCCATGGTCCACAAGCCTATGACTGTGACCGGGGAACGCTAACCGCTGGACCACCAGGATACTAAAATCAGTCCTAGACTCTGTTATATTTCACACAAAGCCTGTTGCTGATAACCACAAGGAAAAAGAAAACACGCAGTTCCCAAGCGCTTTCGTGTAATTCACATCTTCAGGAGTGAGTACAGACTAAGGAAAAGTACAAAACATGCCTTAGTGATAAAGTTATGCCTAGATCAATTCTCCCACAACGTGTCCTGAAGATGTCAGACCGCCCCTTTGATGATTTCCAAGAAATCATCCTATAGAAACATTTTGAAATAAAGAAAATTGAAGTGGGTGAAGCTTTTCGTATTGTAAGACAAAAAAAGCATGTTTTTAATGTGACCATACCGAGTGATTGGAAAAAGTTCATGTTGGATTACTGTTTTGATAACCTGAGACGTGCGCGTTCTGATCTTCAAGCTAAGATAGACCACAAATTGCCACTCCTCATTAGGAATAGTGATTGAAATAAGGATGCCAATCGCAACTGTGTAGTGAATCTCTCCTCTAAACAACTAGACAATGATACCTTGTGTGCCCTCGGTTATGGTTTAAGTTTTGATGGCTCTAGCAAGGGAGTCGACAGTGTGGACATAGCCAGAGCATTTTGCAATTTGGAGAAATTCAGCAATTTGACAAGTGAAGAAGTGAACATGTGTAAAGGTGTTGTGTATGCATCTATGTCTAAGCCTTGTGTTCCAAACTGTCCAGAAAGATTCACCAAAGCAATCCAAGCCCTTAAGAAAAATAAGGATCTACATGTCACTAAAGCAGATAAAGCCAACACAGTAGTGATTTTAAACAAAGATGATTATATTTCTAAAATGAATGACCTTTTATGTGATGCTGCAACATATTCTAAGCTCATAAATAATCCTCTCAACACTGTTAACACCCAGTTCAACAAAAAACTTAAGTCTCTATTGAGAGGCAAAGCTACTCTCATTAAACATCTTACTTCAACGTCCCCTCCACTGCCATACATGTACGGTTTAATCAAGACCCACAAGCCTAATAACCCAGCAAGACCCATCATTAGCTCAGTTGGGTCAATCTCTTATAAATTATCTAAATGGTTAGTTTCTTTACTAAATCCCCTAGTTGGCAACATTTCTAACTCTAATATAAGAATAATATGGATCTGGTTGATAAACTCAATAACTTACACATTAATTATGATTTTAAACTGGTCAGTTTTGATGTAACATCACTCTTTACAAAGGTCCCAGTTGATGATTTACTGGAGTTCCTCATAGATTCCCTGGATAATATTTCATTGCCCGTCTCGAAAGACGACTTCATCGAACTCATCAAACTATGTATTAAGGATTGTAAATTTGAATTCAATGGAGAATATTATGCTCAAAAATTTGGTATGGCAATGGGTAATCCACTCTCACCTGTATTAAGCAACCTATATATGGAATTCTTTGAAAAGAAACTATTAAGTAATATTTTACCACCTTCAGCAGTCTGGTTTAGATATGTAGATGATGTATTATGTCTCTGGCCAAGTAATGAGGACCTAAAAGCTTTCCTGCCACAACTTAATAACTTAGCCCCCTCGATCAAATTCACTGTGGAATTAGAGCATGACTGTAAATTGCCATTCCTAGACTGTCTGATACACAGAATAGGTAACACCTTTAAGTTCAGTATTTATAGAAAACCTACTAATGTGTGTTCATACATTCATTATTATTCTGCCCACCATAATAGAGTCAAACAGTCAGTATTTTCAACAATGTTTTTACGTGCTTTGAGAATTTGCAGCCCGGAATTCATTGATGAGGAATATAAATATATCTATAATATTGGCTCAAACCTTAAATACCCTAGATCTTTTATAGACAAATGCCTTAACATTACTAAGAAATCTTTTTATAGAACTGATCCCAAGCCCACCCATGACCATAAGAATCTCTTAGTATTACCATTTCACAAAAAATTCTCTCAAATTCCTTTACAACTAAAAACCTGGAACGTCAATGTGGCATTTAAAAACTCATACACTGTTAAACAAATGTTAATCAAGAACTCCCCCAACAACACAATTGGTTACATTTATAAAGTTCCTTGCAAGGAATGTAATATGTTTTACTTAGGCCAGACAGGTAAAGATCTTGTAGCTAGACTTAAACAACATAAATATAGTGTTAGGACAGGCCAGGAATCCAATGCTCTGTTTGTTCATTTGAGGGATAACAAGTATTGCATTGACTGGGATAATGCCTCCTCAATATTAACTTGTAATTCAATTGACAGTAGGAACATTATAGAATCTAGTCTCATTAAACAAACCGAAGCAGTCAACATGAATTTGAGTAATGGCATGTACAAACTGGACAATTTTGTAATTAAGAAGATTTGTAACCAGGTGAGAAGGTTGGGTCACCTTACCCTCTGACCTGACTACCGACCGTTGCGGTGCTTTTAAAGATTAGTAGGGTCATTACCTAATACCTGACCATTGTGGACCTGATCTCACCCTCCTCTGTATATATACACCTTGTTTTGTACTTCTCCTTAGTCTGTACTCACCCCTGAAGATGTGAATTACACGAAAGCGCTTGGGAACTTCGTGTTTTCTTTTTCCTTGTGGTTATCAGCATATACCTGGATCACGCGCACCTACAGTGATTTACTTGCATATATATATATATATATATATATATATATATATATATATATATATATATATATATATATATATATATAAATGGGGAATAGCCCACCCGGGCAAAGGCAGGTCATCAACTTATGACAAAAGACTAGATCAACAAAACAACTTTCAAAAACCTGAAGAGCACGTTGTTGTTCCAGCAGTCTCCATGGCAGATAACATCAAATTTTGGATTTCTGATTAGATGTCTCTCGAGGACACCAGCACCATCGGTCTTGTTCTTTGCCATCCATTGCTCTGCTAACTCGTACCCTTTCACTTTGTGTAACATTTCTTCGGCATTACAAATACTGCTTGCAAAAAAGTTATTCATCATTTCTTTTGCAGTGTCGGAAAAATTTATCCAGTTAGTTTTTATATACTTAAATTGGTCACAAAAGTCTTCGTCTGGTGTCCTTGCCTGCAGTAAGCGGGAAGCGGCATGCATTCTGGCCAGCTCCTGTAGAACGAGGGTGGCGTGGGGCACGTCCATTACCTTCCTGCGGTCAAACATTTGATATCCTTGGGGGCGAAGATTCTCTAAGAAGATCATATCCTGACCGTCTTCACAATGTGTATAAAACCATTTCGGCATCCTCAATTCACGAAGACCCACAGATGTCAGCTCAGAGTTCAATAAAGGAATGATTTCCTCATAAAATTCTGCTTCTTTTTTAAATATTATCGCAGTAAATAATTCCATGTCATTATCCACATTGTATTTCGTGTTTATCTTGACCACATAGGACACACTTTGATCCTGGCCATGGAGAGAGTAGCTAACGCTGACGCTGGTGACGACATTGGCATAGTTGTCACCCTTCTGAGTGAAGTCCTTGACATTCCATGAGTTAAGTTGAGCGTTACTGCCCTTATCAGCTTTCAGCACCCTCTTCACGTGCGCCTCAGTGATGTTACTCTGTGGTCCTCCTAGTGCAGTGCTCTCCGTAGTGGCCACTGAAAAAAAAAAACACGAGAGGAACGTTCAGAATTTTGTTTAGATTTTTATTGTAACTCAAAGGTTTACTTTAAAGCTTGCATAAATACATGAGTTTAATGTTCGTCTTGATTTCTATTATTGTTTTGCGTTAAGGATACTCTGGCAACTCCCTGCCACGTAGTGGGATCTACTTTACATGAAGTAGAATTCTGTAGTTTTACTTATATTCCACAGCAGCTCTCTCAGTAATGAAGATATAATACGTCTGTGGAATGGGTTCCCCCCTTTTTCTATTCTCTTTCTTTGACTAATGTGTAGTGATACAAATTCAAAATGTAGAAAACCATCATCCTATACACACAGAGGAATCCGCAGACTGATTAAAAGAAATAAAGAGACAGTTTACCTTGGTCTTGAAGCGATCATAGATAAAACAATGGGAAGGTAATGAAGAACTTACATTACACGGTTCCTGACTTAAAAATTATTTCGTTCACAGAACTGCCACCGTGAAACTAGAGGAGCTCATGCAGTACAGAATCACTTCTGTGAACCTGTCCGTGTTCACAGCAAATGGTTTCTTCCACAAGCCTGTCAACTCAAAGTTTATGACAGTACTGAGCTTCGAAGGTACTGACATGGAACAAAGTACCACCAAGTCAAGCTTGGTCTGAATATGCCAGTTGTCTGTTCAACTACATAGCTAATCGTCATCCACAAGCAGTAACATATCACTTCATTAACGACATCTACGAGTAACAGTCCACAATTTCAGGAATAGCAACGCCGCTCAGGCACACTGTTTTGTTCCAAACACCTTTCCTGCAGGCAACCAGAAAATGCCTGTTGGGGCATCATGGCATTCATTTCTGTCAAAACTTTCTAACATCAGAGACTGCAGAAGTTTCTCCTTCGTGAGTAGCATTCGTATAAGTGTCATGCTGACTTGTTCTCTACACTGGGATGTTCTTGCTATGATGTAAAAACATGAGTATTGTGAACTTCGCTTTGTTTTAATCAAGACCAGCTTACGAAGATGATACAAGGGTAATTTATGACTAATTTAAGGCGTAAGCACACTGAGCACATGTTGGCCGTATTTGCTGGCTGCTGGGCTGAAAGCAAGCAGCAGGATTTCGTCTGTTACGAAAAATGGACAACGGTTTGGCGGCGAGCTTTGCTGGCCGGGTTAGTGCTAAAAATAATAAGCTTCATATTAAGTGTTGAATATTTTAGTAAAACTCTAATTAATTCAGGGCAGGATGCAAATGCATTACAGGAGGATCTAAATAAACTGCAGGGGTGGTCTGAAAAATGGCAAATGAAATTCAACACCAGCAAGTGCAGCGTACTTAATATTGGAAGAACAAATACTTATAATGTATACAGCCTTAACAACATCGACCTAGAGAAGTCGACTTGTGAAAGAGACCTAGGGGTACTTGTAAGCCCGGACCTACGGCCTAGAAAACAGTGCGTTAATGTTCGAAATAAGGCAAACAGAGTATTGGGTTTTATATCTAGAAGTGTAAGTAAAAAAGAGTGCAGAGGTCTTATTGCAACTATATCTTGCGCTAGTCAGGCCGCACCTCGATTATGCGGTTCAGTTCTGGTGCCCTTATTATAGAATGGATATAAATTCACTAGAGTCGGTGCAGCGAAGAATGACAAAAATGATTCCGGGACTTAGAAACCTTCCATATCAGGATAGGTTAAAGAAACTTAACTTGCATTCCCTAGAAAGACGAAGAGTGCGGGGAGATATGATAGAAGTATTTAAGTGGGTGAAATGAATCAATAAAGGGGATATAGATAAAGTTCTTATAATATCCGAGCAGGATAGGACTCGGAGCAACGGATTCAAGTTGGATAAGTTTAGGTTTAGGAGGGAGATAGGAAGAAACTGGTTCACAAATAGGGTGGTGGACGAGTGGAACAAGCTTAGCAACTTTGTAGTAAATGCGGGAACTCTGGAAAGTTTCAAAAGGAGGCTAGATAGATTCATGGATGATAGAGAGTGGTAGTAACTCTCGACAGGAGCTGCCATGCACAGGCCAACCGGCCTATTGCAGACTCCTTATTTTCTTATGTTCTTATGTAAATATTTAAAATGTAACACATAAAATGGTGACATGATTCTATTGATTCGTCACTTTAAAATTTCTTTAGTATTAATAAATCATTATTTAGGGTCTTCCTTGATCAGCCAGCTTGTAAACAAACTTTTGCAGATGCCTCACTTTCTTCGACAATTCAAGAACTCTAGCGCAATCCTACAAGGCCTCAACTGTTATAACGGGATCCATGGTGAAACTTATCTAGACGCTTTGTTGTTGTTTTTGTTGCGTTGGGTAGACGCGCTAACAAAACATCCAAGTGAGACGAAAACTTCACTTTGTTTTGCTGGCCGGACCGTGTTCACCCAGCACGGTTGGGAGGAAAAGTGCCCAGTGTGCCGCCACCTTAAGGCTGATTCACACTATCCATCACGTATCGATAACATCATGGATCGGCAACGGTCCGTCAAAACTGCGAGCATTCACATCTTCCGTCACCGTTCCGTCACGTGTTCCATCAGCGATCGGTCAGTCGATGTGTAGCTTCGGAGTAAAAATGGCGCCATATTCATTTAGCAAGAAGAAACTTGCAGTTATTGCACTTCTTTTGGATGAGGAAGAAACATAAAAAAAAGGAGACTGGATTCACCAGTGTTTAAAAAACAGAAAAACTGTATATTTTGAGAGCATAGTGTGACATATCAAAGTTATTTGTACTGTTATATAAGATAATTGTTAACAACATTATATCGCAGTACATAGTGTAAATATAAGAAAACAGTTAAAATCCCCATATAGCAATCCTTCACGCAATGCAATCACCAAAACCAAAAGCAATAAAATATAAGTCTTGCTGCACTCTAATGCTATACTTCACACTACTGCTTGTTCTTAATCAACTTATAACACACAAGAACACATATCTGTATACAAATCACACATCCTTACTAACCTTGTACAGTAAATGTATAAGGGCAATATACAGACACAAAAGCAAAAAAAAACATGCTGTAGTAGGAAATACCTTATATATTTTCCCAAACATACGTACATTAAAAATAGTGGTGCTATTACCTTTTTCTGTCTTTGGGGAAAACGTGAAACACAAACTCAGGGTGATCTGTTTTTGTACGTAACTGGTGATGGTGACGCCCACTCATGGTTAACCGTCCGTGTAAACAGACGACGTACAGACAAACCACGCATTGCACACTAACGCCATCTGTTGATCCCGCGGTCAACGCTACATTATGTGGCTTACGCGGTTTTCGCTTTGCTTTCCTGTCTTTCTTATTATAGTCTTTGGATCTAGTCTTCCCAACACGTACGCGTAATCATTCTCCTCCCTCAAACAAAACCCAAAATAGCTTTCCTCTCTATACGTGTCTAGTCTCATCTCTCTCCTGTCTCACTGCCTCTGGCTGGCCCTCTGATCTAGACAAGCATTCCACGCACTAGGGGATAGCGTCGTTAGTCAGGTCCAGGACGAAAATCGAGCGGAATGCCCACTCGTCAAATCACTGACAAATCTAAATACAATCCCGTATTATATACTTCATCTCTTCGATAATGGCCATTTAAGTCAGATTCTTAATCACATAATTAATTTAACACACACATACTACAGTATATACTAAACATACCTCATTCCTTATCCTATTCAGGGCCGGATTCAGGAGTGGGCAAATTGGGCAGCTGCCCAGGGGCCTCCACTATCTGGGGGCCTCCACATATTACAATATTTTATTTATTTATTTATTTGGATTATTTTTATTTTTATTCTTTAAAATTCATGTTTATCTATTCCATCACGTAAAACTATGTTCAGCAAGAAGTGTGATAGAAATTAGGCTAGCTACTCCTTGAAATTCATGAATACCTAGTTTTCCTATGAACAGTATATTTTAATGAATGCTATTGTTTGTGTTGTTAATAATATATTTAGAATTCCACAGACATATATTGATTAAAAATAAACTACATGGAATAACAAAATTAAGATTAAAAAAAATAATAATATTTTTTTCATTATCACTTCCATTACGAATGCCATCAGGGCGCTGTGTTCTAATTTCCTCAATATAACTGCATATGGCTTCAAAATTCTCCAAAGAAGTGTTCAAATTTCAAAATTTTCCCGGGGGGCTTACAATGCCCCAGGGAACTCCTAGATGTTTAGGCTCACTTCACTCCCCACCCCACCCTCTTGGGTAGTTTTAATGAGGGGGGCCTCCACAAAGAGGCTGCCCACGGGCCTCCACAGGTCTAAATCCGGCACTGATCCTATTGCATAAGAAAATTGATAAGACATAGATATCATAATAAACATACTATTGTATGCGTGCTTCACGGCGTAAACAACATACATTCGTAAAAATAAAAGAAATGCATAATAATCTATATTGTATAACTGATATTCGCCAGCAGAGGAAAGCAAAAAAAGGTGAACATACACTATTTCCCAGTCAAGTTTTCTTCATAATTAGCAAATTTCAAAATTTTCATAATCGAGGTAATACGTAGAGCATATCTAAAACAGTCTATACTAAGACAGTCTATACTATAGACTCTATAGTATAACATAAGTGTCTGTTTACTTACTTTATTTTTTCGTGTGCAGGCACTTTAGTTTTATTAAATAGGGTTCACTTGTTTTTTCTTCACCTTAATATCATTTACTTACTTGTACTCATCCATCTGTTACTCAAGATTCATTATTGTTACTATATTAGTTAGAGGAAATATAAAGAGATACCTGGATAATTAAATTTATTCAACAAAAGGCGTGATATGACATCACTGTATATGTCTTATCCCTACTCTAACTAGATATACCGTGGGGAAGGAATTCAGTATACACCAGTTTGACTACAGAAAACATCCATCCATCTTACCGCCCAGTACTGTTCTTGCCGGCCCACTCATGCCCCACCAGACTACATCACACCCAACAATGTCCTCATTACGTAATACAGAGTCGTCGCTCCATATCGGGCAGCAAACCACCAGGCAGGCGGACCATGATTTCGCTCAACGACGGGTGCGGGCATTCCAATGGTTTGCAAGCCAATTTTGTCCGATAACGGGCATTTAGCGCGTGCACGCCGGGCACTGCTCGATCATGTGGGCAGGCCCTAACACTCGTCTTGCCCACGGTGCCCACCGTTTTTTTTGTGGATGTCGGTCTCACTATAGAATAACCGGTTATAGTACATCCTTCTTTCCTCACACAGCCAAACTGTGGAATGCTCTTCCTTCGTCTGTATTTCCATACTCATATACAATCTGTCTCATCTCAAAAAGCTGGTTAATATAATCTGTTTATTTTCAAATTTTAATTTATTTTTACTCTTATTTTTTTCACCCCCCAGCCCCGTTGTGAGAGGAAGACCTGTGCCAGGGTAGGCTGTTCCCTATTAAAACAAAAACAAAAAACATATAGCACAATAGGTAATGAACTACAGTTTGTATGGCTGGATATATCCCAAATCATATATATACCTGAAAAAACTTGATTTAATTAAGAGCATTCTGGAGGGAGGCAAGACGCTCGGGGGAACAGCCACTGGACTTTGCTGCCAGATCGACAGGTGATCAGCTGACAGTGGCAGATCAGCTAGACACTTGACTCAGACTGTCAGTACGGTAGAGCTCGCATTAGAATACTATGACACACAAATTAACTATACCTCGTCCATCATTGGCCGAGATTTTCGTTTATTTGCATCAAATGTCTTGATACTTGTTGACAGAGGATGAAAATGTTAAACCTCTACATAGCTTCTAGATACTTTGTATCATATATTATTACTTAAAGCTTGTCACAATGCAGCGTTTAAGATAGGAAGTGCCAAGTTAGTGGATGAAGATCTAATAATTTGCTTTGGGTGTGAGAAATGTTTTTGTTGGTTAGTAACACAGCACTGACATCTGTTGACACAGTTGTGAGTTGAGTCTGCTCACCAAGGCCAGGGGCTGTTCCCCTGAGCGTTTTACCTCCCCGAACTGCGCATATTTATACCGAGTTTTATCAGTTATATAAATGATTTGAGATATATTCAGCCATACAAACTGTAGTTCATTATCTATTGTACCATATGTTTGATATTTGTTTCTGTTTGGTTTATGTTTGGTACAAAACAAAGAAATAATGAAAAGACTTCATTCCAAAGCGAATTTCAACATTGACTTCGACCTTTTGTGATTGATATTTAAAATTGTTAAACATCCTCTCTGAAGTGCCAATGCTTTGAAATTATTTGCATTTTAAAAGTCCAGATATTTAACATTATTTTAGAAAATAACAGGTCAGTTTTCCAATTGTGAACAGCTATGGACAGCTACACGAACATTTTCAATGAAGCAATCAACTATTTTTTATAGAAGTAGGGCGTGGCCTACGGGCCGGGTTAGCGTGGAAATACTATAGTCTCTAGTCTAGTTGGTACCAACACTACTCTCATGATATCACGGAGTGATAATCTCGTCATATCATTGAGACCCTCAGGCAACACGAGCAAGGTATACCAAGACTATATTTATATATATTTAGAGACGAGTTACTCTCTCAATCTTTATAATGTCAATACTTGATGTCTAATATACTGTACGATGTACAGTAATTAAGAGTACGCGCTCAAAGGTATCTATACATTTTAAAAATCTAAGCAATTGATCACTCAATAATACTAATCTACAAAAATTACACGATTACCGACTGAAAAAAAAAATACTCAGAGAGCAAAACAGAGATATCTAGTTTACAGCTTTTATGTTAGCAAATAGTAAATGAACTTCATTTGTCCTAAACACCAAGCTAAATTGCCTTTATTTATACATACTAGTTGAATCTAAATAATTACTTCACACATAACACCATAATAGTCCAAGTTTATGTGACAACAAAACTATATTATTTGTATTAATAATCTCTTATTGCATGATCTAAATAAATATTTATTTCCATCTTCTCAAAGGATTCCAAAAATCGCACTTCCCTGATGTTTTGGTATCAATGACATCAAACTAAAAGAACATTTCGTTAAAAAGCTTACTGGTGTTGATGAGGGATGTCTGTCATAAATTGCGTTGACGAATAATGAAAGCTTTTATGCTGTACTCCTTCACGTCGTCAGCTTTGATATGAGTTACTGAGTATGTGTCTGGCTCGGCCCTCTGTCCGGGTGCCATGTCATTATCTATGGTCCAAGTGCCACTAACCACCTTACAGCTCTTTCTTTGTATTTCGTTAAGATATTTCCCTTTATTTGGGCGATAGCATCACGGAGGATGATGATATCTTAGCTGACTAAATCCAGTCTGAAAACAGTTATTTGACAAAATTTGAAAACATGACGAATAAAAAGTTCATGTCACGGTGACACGAAGGTATGTAGCTCCTGTAAATGTTGCCAAGGCGTTATTTTTTGTATTGATAAAAGGACAAGCACAATGTTTGAAGACAAGGAGCAAAATAAAACGACATAATAGCTGTCGACTGATCATTAGGCAAGAAAATACCCGTGGATGGTATTATATAGCCTGAACTTCTTGTTAAACGGAGGTTGTAGTGGTGTGGCAGCTTGGGAACAACACTGGGGTTCAAGGACACGACGAGCCTTGGGCTAGTGATGAGCACTAATTCACTGGGGTGATGTTCTGATAGTATACAGTCAAGGTCTTTGCTACCTGCTGGGGGCTGTGCCAACGTTACTACAATATCCACTGTAGTACCAGAGTACCTTACAGGCTCAACCCCCCCCCCCCTCACTCACATTTAAGTGAATAGATACGAAAGGAAAACAAAATATTCACACACACACAAACAAACAAACACACACACACACACACACACACACACACACACACACACACACACACACACACACACACACACACACACACACACACACACACATATAAGAAAACTATTTTACTTAACGTTTTGGTTTAAGCGAAAACATTTGGAAAGTGGATTGTATTATTAACTTAATTTTCAACTCAAAGTGCCAATTTTCATAAATACATAAAACATAATTTCTCTCTTTGACGGATAGGAGCTAGCAAGGCTAGAACACACATCTCCAAAGACACAGGTGAAGCAGCGATGTTTCGCCCATGAATTGTGCATCCTTTATTGTACCTTTCAGGGTCAGCCTCTCAACCTTCGGTCAACTCCTCCTCCACACCAGAATATATCATCACCTTCCCAACAACAATACAGTGCAAAAAACTCTCTCCATTATCATCTGTAAGTTGGGTCAGTAGCCAAAGTTGTCCTTTGTTCCTATGCGAGAAACTGTGGGAGACAACTGACAAAGAAGTTTATACTTAAGTATAAGACCGACCCCCATATACCAGATCCAAAGTTAACTAACTTACATGTTCGCTCTATGTTTCTTAATTTTTTAGTTTTATTTTATATACTGAGAGTATTTGCTACTGCGGTGACCCACTCTCTGATGTCACCATGTACTTTATGATTATCATTTTTGTTTAGTGTATAATTCATCCTTTGGGCTGCCATGTTCTTTCAATAAACCGTTAATTACAATAATATATTATTATTATGTGCACATGAGCCCAAAGAAAATAACAACTTGAGATGGAATCTAAAAAACGAAAAATGTAGGCGTGCAGCATAACTTAGTATCTCAACAATATGCTTTCATTTGTGTGACTGCTTCCTTATGACAGTCATCATGATATATAGTATCAGGACCATTGCACGCAACCCCATGGCTTTTGGAGTAACTCTATTACAACAACTGTTTTATTTAAAAGTGAGTTACCCCATTGATGGAGAGTGGATGGGATACAAGTCCTTGTCACAGAGATAAAACAAACATATATAAAGAGATTAAATGTGACTCTTGATAAATATCAAATCAAATATCTTTGACATAGATAAATGTTACAAGTACTTGAAACATTTTAACACATGCAGGTAATGTGCAGATACTGGAACAAGGACGTGAACTGTGCCTCATAAACATGATATGGGTCGCGAGTTGTATGTATGTAGTGTGTGCAGTATATGTGTTGTATATAGTATATGCATTGTGGTAGTGTGCGTGTTGTGCATTATGAATAGTGGGTGTAGTTTGTGATTTTGATAAGTGTAGTGTGTGTGTGTGTGTGTTGTGAGTAGCCTGTGACTGTCAATAACTTATGTGTGTGTGTGTGTATAGTAAGCAATGTATGTTATGTGTAGCCTGTGTCTGTCAATACCTTGTGTGTGTGTGTGTTCATAACGTAGAGGGTGGTGCAATGCGTCTAGTGTGGCAGCATTATGTTAGTGTTAAGGTGCAAGCATTGCTTACTCTCTCTCGCTTTCAGCTACCGTCGCAGGCTAGCCCTCGTGGCGAACAGGAAAGAAACTTGCATAAGTCTTCCCCTATCAGTACACAGTCTCTTCACCATCAAGAATACTGCTGTGCCTCCTCGTGGCAACACACGGTAACTGGGTGCCTCGTGGGCCCAGGCTAGATCAGCAGGAGATCTCGGAGTAGCAGTGGGTACCAGAGGGACGGCGCATAGACCCACTGGCATGTGGAAACGTCCTGTCGCCTACCATCCATTTCCCCGCTGCCTTGCTACGGGAGTAAACCTCGAACGGAAAATCTGCGATGGAGCCCCGCATCAGGCAGACATGCTTACAGAGCTCCAGCATGACCCAACGGCGATATAGGCGGAAGAGGTGACCACCATGGGAACCCAATGACTACACCGGCGGCGAAACCCAACAAACTGGGCTATCGGCAGTCCATTGCAACTCTACCCTCTCCCCAATCGTTGCAACACTTGCACCACTGAATCAGGAAAAGGGAGAGCCAAGATGCGTGGTTGCGGCCTTCGCTCCTGCCTCACCACATAAATCAACTCACTCGCAGCCATCATCCAGCTCATCCTATGTCTCATCATCTTGAAAACCCCCTATATCCCCAAAAGTCCAATGGCGATGGGGACAAGCAGAGATGACTGCTGGGAGTCATTAGTCACAACTCTGCACATGGGCGGCGCCGATAAGATTTTTGTTTATGGAATGGAATCTAGGCAGCAGTGGAATCCAATCCTGTCTATGCAACTGAGCATCCCATTCGTGGAGCCACTCTGCTCAACCCACATGGGGACGGGGCAAGAAAAGGTGCCCTAAACATAGCCTGCCCCTCCCAAAAAAACTTGACTGGGCAACCACACCCAGTAAGGTCATCCTTATGCGGTCGAAAACACAATAAAAATCGCAGATCCAAACAAAAACAAACTATACAACCTTTTCTGGTCACTGAATGGAATGTCAGGACCCTTCTGGATACTGGCACATGTCAGCATCCTGAAAGAAGAACTGGCCTCGTGGTAAAAGGTTGGTTAGGTATAACATGACAAAGCAGCCATTAGTGAGTCCCGGCTCCAAGACGAGGGTCAACTCACAGAACAGGGGGTCTGGCTATACCTTCTTCTTGAAGGGTAAGCCTGCAGCAGAGAGAAACTGCATTTATGGAGTTGGCTTTGCCATCCACCAACGCATCCTACACAGGCTAACTGAAATGCCTATTGGGATCAACGAGCGCCTCATGACGCTCCGAGTCCTACTGAATCACTCACGTCATGCCTTTTTCATCACTGCATACGTCCCAACACTGGATGCAGAGAATGACATGAAAGAGTCTTTCTATGCCGACCTCGATAGAGTGCTAACCTCTATCCCGAGAGAAGATAAGGTTGTTCTCCTTGGTGATTTCAATGCCAGAGTTGGCAGAGGTGCTGACATTTGGCAAGGAACCATAGGGAGAAATGGACTTGGCAAGTGTAATCCCAACGGCCTACTCCTCCACAGCAAGTGTGCTGCACAAAACCTCACTATCACCAATGCCTTCTTTAGGCAGCCTGACAAGTTTAAGGGTTCGTGGCAACACCTTCGATCCAAACACTGGCATCTCATTGACTACATCATTGTCAGAGAAAGAGATTGCCGAGATGTCCTCATCACCCGTGCCATGCGTAGCTCAGACCACTGCACACTGATCTTCGGCTCGTCAGACCCAAGCTCTTACTTCACGTCGCCCCAAATCGGCGAAGGCAGCAAGTTTCTAGAAGAGGTTTTAACACTAAGCGTCAGGAGGATCAAGAGGTAGCACATGCTTTCAGAGAGCAGCTCGAACGTGGACTGATAAACAACCCGACAACAAACAATCCAAATCCCAGTACCGAATGGGATATTCTCAACACTGTTATAACAAAAACCTGCAGAGAGACCCTTGGCCAGATCGAAAGAATACACCAAGATTGGTTTGATGAAAATGACCCAGCAATCAATGTACTCATCGATGACAAACGTGCTGCTTTAACTGACTGGCAGAACAACCCTCAGTCTCGGACCAAGGCTGATACCTTCTGCAAGAAGAAAGCTGTGGTACAGTGTGAACTTTGCAATCTAAAGAACGACTGGTATAAAAATAAACCATGTGAAACACAAAAAATTGTAGATCACCACAAGATGTTCGAATTTTTCAATTCCACTCAAACATTTTATGGGCCAATCACTCGTAGCAGAGCCCCCCTCTTCTCATCTGATGGTAAATCCATAATTAAAGATGATGAAGGCCTCCTTCAGTGCTGGAAAGAGCACGACCAATCACTTCTCAACCGAAACAGTGATGTGGATGTCCTGACTACCCAGCAAGTCTCTCAGCATCCAGAGCTAACCCACCTCAACTATCCTCGATCCCTGGATGAGGTAGCTATTGCTATCAAACATGAAAAATATCAAAGCCTCAGGGCCTGATGGAATCCCAGTGGAGGTGGTGTATAGAGCAGGAGGACCTATACTTACCAACCGTCTCCACTCTCTGTGGAGAATATATGGGAAAAGGAGGAAATTCCCCCACGCTCTTAAAGACACCTCCATCGTCAATATTTATAAGAACAAGGGGAACCGATAAGACTGTGGAAACTACCGCGGGATCTCGGTGTGGTCAGTAGCTGGCAAGATTATCGCTCGATTCCTCCTCAACATATTTCATTCTGAGGCGGAAAAATTCCTCCCAGAATCTCAATGCACCTTTAAACCATCACGTGGCCCATATGATATGATCTTCGCTGCCCGCCAAATACAGGAAAAGTGCAGAGAACAGTGTCATGATCTGTACACGGCTTTCATCCACCTAA